CGGTTAGTTGGAATGCCGCTTCGGCTGAGGAGTGAGGCAGGCATCATGGCTATGCTGATTTCAGACTGCTGATTTCAGACTGCTGATTTCAGACCCGAAGCCGCTTCGGCTGAGGAGTGGCAGGCATCATGGCTATGCTGATTTCAGACTGCTGATTTCAGACTGCTGATTTCAGACGAAGCTGATTTCAGACTGCTGATTTCAGACTGCTGATTTCAGACAGGTTCAGCAGCGACTACAGCACGAACTCATCGAAGGCATAGTCTGCGAAGCCTAGTAGTTTTTCTTTGGCGGAAGTGCAGCTATTATCGGAGCCAGGCCCCGAAGAACATCAGCGTCCACCACACCAGGGTGTTGTTCTTCGATGCCTTCATCAAGCGGGAAGTCATCCCTTGCAAGATCCCATTTGGTCCACATATGGCAGTGTACCTGCCTGAGAGGATCCTGCCAATTTTGCTTGGTGAACGTCTTCGAGAAGCTTTTCTTTCCAAACTCTTCCACCCAATATGTGTGTGTCGCCTTGAACTCGACGTTCCATCTGTAATCGTTGACCCTGAGAGTCATGCGAGCTTGCGGAGCACATAATTGGTCAAGAAGTTCCATTGGAGAGCTGTGAATTCTCGGTGCACCCCGACGACTGGAAGCAGGTACCACAGAATCCTCCTCAGCTGAATAGTGTTAGGGGCGAGGTCTGAGGGAGCCAGGGAGTTTCAATTCACAAAACAGACAACTCAAGTTGATATGCAGCTCAACATAGAGCAAAGAAAATTTAGTCCCAAGGGCTGCATCGGATGGGGCAGGACCGGCACTGGGAGCAGGCAGGCTGCTGGAAGCGGCAGCATTCTGAGGGCCAGCCTGAACTCAGCACCCGACACTGGAAACCCGATACCTAGACCCACAAAAGGCAAGCCCCTGAAGGCTGAAACCTAAAGCCCAAACCAGACCATATTACCAAGATACTTCAAAATACCCTAGCCCAAACCTTAGCACAAAAAGAGTGGGTTCCTCCTTTCGGCGACGGGCTTCCTCTGCGGCCTCGTCTTCGACCTTCCAGATCGGGCTTTGGGTTTTGGGTTGGGTTGAGGAGCCCTCAAGCCGAAACCTTAAAACCTCAACCCCTCGCCCTAGGATACCCCCAAACACTAAACCACAAATAGGCTTCCTTTTGTAGGCGACGGTCCATATGGGGCTTCCAGATTGGGATTTGGGTTTGGTACTTAAGGTTGGGGATAGATCGTTTCGCGCCCTCAAGCCTTACTCGACTCCTTCTCGGCTTCCTCCTCTGGGCGATGGGCTTCCTCTTCATCAGCCTTCCAGGTTGGGTTTCGGGTTTGGTACTTCGGGTTGGGGATTGATGGTTTAGTATAGAGCCACACCCTCACCAGCAGCACCACCAGCACCTAGAGCCCTCAAGCCTACACCCGAAATCCTACAACACAAACCTGAACCATATTCCCCAAATACCCGAGCCCAAACTTCCTCTTCGGCCTTTTCTTCGGCCTGTCAGATTGGCTTTCGGGAATAGGGTTTCGGTTTGAGGGTTGAAAGCCCAAGCCCAAACTAACCAAACCTACACCACAACTCCCAAGATACCCTAGCCCGAACCCTAGACAAATCACACAAAAGTTTCAAACTCGACAATGGCTTTGTCCTCTCGGCGGCGGGCTTCGTCTTTGGTTTCGGGTTTAGGGTTTCGGGGTTTAGGGTTGAGAGCCCTAAAGCCTAAACCGAAAAACCTAAACCGAAAACCCCTAAAACCAAAAGCCTGAACCTCCACCCTAGTTCCCAAGATACCCTGGCCCAAACCGGAAGCAGCTCGACACCGTCAAGATGGCCTCCTCCTCTGCCTCTCTGCGATGGGCTTCCTGGTCCATTTCGGCCTTCCAGATTGAGCTTCAGGTTTTGAGTGTGGGGTTCAGGGCTGAGAGCCTTCAATCCGAACCACCTAAACCCAAAAGCCTGAACCTCCACCCTAGTTCCCAAGATACCCTAGCCCAAAGCAGAAGCAGCTCGACACCGTCAAGATGGCCTCCTCCTGTGCAAAGATGTTTTCCTCCTCTCTGCGAGGTGCTTCCTGGTCCATTTCGGCCTTCCAGATTGAGCTTCAGGTTTTGGGTGTGGGGTTCAGGGTTGAGAGCCTTCAGTCCGCAACACCTGATTAAACCCAAAAGCCTGAACCTCCACCCTAGTTCCCAAGATACCCTAGCCCAAACCCTAAGCAGCTCGACACCGTCAAGATGGCCTCCTCATCTGCAAACATGGCTTCCTCATCTCTGTCATGGGCTCCCTGGTCCATTTCAATTTCGGCCTTACAGATTGCGCTTCAGGTCTTGTGTGTGGGGTTCAGGGTTGAAAGCTTTCAAGACGAAACCCTAAACCCAACAACCTGAACCTCCACCCTAGTTCCCAAGATACCCTAGCCCAGACCCTAAGCAACAAAAAGGTTTCAAGTTCGATTCCTTCTTCTTGGCTTCCTCCTCTCGGCGACGGGCTGCCGTTTTGGCCTTCAGAGTTTTCTTCCGTCGTGCCTGCAGAGAATCACCCTGAGCCCGAGAGCTAGCTAAACTTCACTCTGAAACTAAACTCCAAACCCAGCAAAATCCAAAGCCCTCAGCCTGTAAACCCGTGCCCTAGATGAGCCTTCATCTTCGGCTCGAGCAAGCCTTTCTTCCGTTGCTTTGGCGGAGCCTTGGCCTTAGCCTTCCGTTTCGGAACTTGTTCTCCCTCGTCGGGACCAGCAGCTCTGGGGACAGCGATCCGTCCAGTTCTCCTTTGTTTGATCTTCTCCTTCTCTTTCTGGATCTCTGGATCGCCCTGATTCTCGAGATCCTCGAGCTGTTCCAACAACTCCTCCATGTCACTGTCCTCAGCGTGTTCTTCTTCTTGTGGAAGCAAGCAGGCAGCCATCTTCCTCCTGGCCTCTTCTTTCTCGTGCTCGGTTTCCAAGAAAAGATCGAGGATTAGGCCGTGCAAGCTGGCTCGTGACTGGTTTTTGCGAAAGTTGACTTTGAACAATGCCAACAGGTCCTGGCACTGCTTGCATGTCAGATTGAGTCCGGCATGGATTCTAGCCAAGGGCAGCGACATGGCCTCAGAGGTCTGTTCCAGGTGCAGCGGGCCGTGCGGGCCAGACAGGCCAGGCTTGACAGGAACGGAAACCCAGTCCTCCAGCTCCGTGATGTGGTGGAATCGGATGGCATTGTGCCTGTAGGGCCGGAAAGCCGACATCCCAGCAGCCGTGCGGACTCCTGCCGCCAGCTCCAGGTCCCAAGCAGCGAAGCCATAAGATCCAACAGCCAAGATCAACATGATCTCTCCTGCACGCTGGCATGCTACCACCTCGCCTGCTGCCCCAGCCAAGACAGACAGCCAAGCAGAGTTGGGGCCAGCTGCAAACTTGTCCCCATCTTGCATGTAGCAGAGGAACCACTCTGTAGCCACAACTTGCTGCCACTCCATCTGCTGGGTCGTGCTCGGCCACGTATGCTGCTTCGTTTTAGTTTCCATGAGCCTCTGGAACTCCTTTTTGAGAGCCTGAGTCGAAGACAAAGAAGAGCTTTCTTTAGCAAATTTTAAGGTCTTCGGACCTTAGGATTTGCGGAGTTAGGGTAGTCGGAAATAGAGCCCTTAATGATCCTGAGAGTCTTAGGGCCTTAGAGTTTGCAGACATAGATTGAGGCGGGAGGCATGGGTGTTGGGGTGCGTGAGCTTGTCAAAGCTCGAGGACTTGCCCGCAGAAGCAGTGGCTTTCTGATCATCTGACACCTTCAAGCAGGGCACACCACGGCTCGGTATTGCACTGCAGCGTATGCAAGCAACTTGCTTCCCTGTCCGAGATTTTTGAAAGTGGCGTGCGTCCCTGAGCGCGTCTTTGGCCATCTGATGTGTATTTTCCACGATAACTGTGTCGGCAAGATGCGTGCTGACGAAGGTCAGAAGCTCAACCACTTGGTTGTTGTAGGCCCGGCGTTCGGCTGTTGTTGAAGCGACCTCGGCCATGTCCCGGATCAAGTGGATCAGCCTGTTGACGGAATTCAGCCGCCAATGCATCTCCTTCAGGGGTTCCATGCCTGCTCCACCAGCCATGGCTTTCTCGGCCTTCAAGACGGCTGCCCAGTCGGCATGCATCTGGCGAAGGGTGGTCTCCCTGCTTTCTGCAAGAAGTGCCCCAGCATATCGAAAAGGCGGTCGGAGGTAGTACGAAGCGGAGCTCTGCACACGTCTCCTTATTCAGTCTTCGGTAGTGTGGGGGCTTAAAGCCTCAACCCTAAACCTTAAACTCTAAACCCTGTAAACCCTGAACCCTAAACCTTCTAAACCCTAAGCGCCAAACCCTAAACCTTAAACTCTTAAACCCTATAAACCTTGAAATGGACTCAACCCAGAAGGATGGTAAGGCTCAGCAAGTCCTGACTAGGTGTCGAGGACCAAAATAAAAAAGGCCAGGCAGCTGAAGTAGCTGCATGAGGTACCGAAAGTGCAAAGAGATGCACTGTCCTTCCTCCTCGTTTGAAAGAAAGCGAGCCGGGTACAGTTTCTGAGGCCCATCAAAGAAGCCATTCCCGATCACAGCGTGGATCTCCTCGGCCCAGAGCTTGGTCCCAGCTCTTTTGGCGATGTCACCGGCGATCTCGTGAGGCAACTTGAGCTGCTGGGCCTGGAGCGGTTTGGTAGGGTCTCAATTGCATCAAGAGTTAATCATTGCTTCGGATTGAGAAGCTAGATGTTCGAGGGATTGAGGGTTTCAGGACTCAAGTTCTGCAGGCATCATGGCTATGCTGATTTCAGACTGCTGATTTCAGACGAAGCTGATTTCAGACGAAGCTGATTTCAGACGGCTGATTTCAGACTGCTGATTTCAGACAGGTTCAGCAGCGACTACAGCACGAACTCATCGAAGGCGTAGTCTGCGAAGCCTGGTAATTTGTCTTTGGCGGAAGTGCAGCTATTATCGGAGCCAGGCCCCGAAGTTCGAGGGGTTGAGGGTTTCAGGGCTGATGTCATCGACTAGCAATAACCCAAGGTGCTTTCTGTGTGAAGCAGCTCCAGACTGGCGTCGCCATGGAAACCAAAAGCTCGTTTTTCCACCAGGTCCATGGTGTTACGAGCAACGGTGCAAGTCGCCATGAGCCCATCTTGAGCTTGAGTTGTCGTAGCTCCTCTCGATCGTCCAGATTGCCGGCCAAGATATCCGGTGTCAGCACTGCCTCAGGCTGGATGCCTTGCTGTGGCGGCCCACCTTCCCCAATCAGCATCTTTGTCCAGAAGTGTTCGCCAGCATAAAATTGGTGCGATTGGAAGTAAGAAAACCATCTCATGAGTTTGACGAGTGGTCCATGCTGCTGCAGCGTCTGCAGCGAAGTGATCGTCCCGAAGAGTGCCTCCCTCTCCTCAGCAGTCGTTGGCTCCGAAAGGCCCATCTCATGGCAGATGTACGGCATGTAGCTGAGGAAGATTTTGCCATCAGCTGTCTGTTTGGCTCTAAATTCCTCTGCATACTGTTGCTTCTTGGCCATCCAAGCCTTGGTGCCTCCAGGTCCATAATTCATGTTGTAGAGAATGGAGAACTGCAGGAGGATGCGAAAGAGCTTCACACTCCTCATGGCCGACTTCAAGTCGTTCCATGTACGATGACTCTGATCATACAAGGGAAGCACGAACCCACGAAGCTTGAACTGCAAGTGATCGAGACCAGGACAGTTCAGCGGTCCCTGATCGCTCACCGAGATCAACAGTGGCTGCTTCGCCAGACTCCATGCAGTCGGTACCTGTCTTTGAATCGACTGTGTCGTGGTATTATAGATGAAGTAGGTCCCGTTCATCAGCACCCGTTCCTCCTCAGCCCGGAGTGGCCCCAGAAGTAGGTCTGGAGGCTTTGCGAAGGCGGCAAGCGGAAGCCCAATTGAGTTCAGGGCATGGCTGAAAGATCGCATTGTATTGTAACTCTCGACACGTGTGATCCGGCCTTGCACAGCCAATGTCCTCACAGTTTCGTGCAACTCTGCTGTCTGGACGGGGCTGATGTTTTGTATGGGTAAGTAGCCCGACACGTTCTTCTTGTAATCGTATGCGATCGCCACTAAAGTTTCCACATCATAGGTTGACGCATCCCAGGACACCTGGACATGCTGCGTGTCGGCAAAGGCCTGACAAGGTAAGTTAGTTCTTGCAAGCAGGCCCTGACATCCAGAAGCCTAAAGATCTATCTCATATCAATTCAACAACACCCTGAAACATAAAACCTTTGTGCTCAGCAGGCCATAGCAGGGCAGGCAAAAGCGTAACGGTCAATCTCAAATAAAACACCTCTTCAAGTTCTAGAATAATCTAAATTAATATCTAAACCCTACAAGATAACCCACTTTTATAAATAGTAAACAGACCCTACCTGCCCAAGGCCTAACCATCAGAATGAAAACGTGGTTTAGGGTTTCGGGCTTAACCCCTAAACTCTATTTTCAAATAGTGCTTTAAAGTTTAGGTTTAAGGGTCTAGAGTCTAGGGTTTTAACAGCGAGCCGTAAAGTTTGATGCCGAGGCTCGGTCGTCAAGAGCTTGACATACTCAGCCACTTCCAAATTAGCCTCAGCTCGCACCAGTGCGATCTGAGGTGGCGTCAAGTCAGTGTGCGTCTGCATGACTTCTCCTCTGTGGCGCTTTTGCGCCTTCACGCGTTGTAAAAGTATGATTTTGTTCACTTTCGGAACTCGTCGACTGTTTCCATGCTTGGTTTTCAAAAGGGGAAGCGGTGCCAGTGGCAAGTTGGCAAGTTCATCGACATAGGCCTCCAGCAAGTAACCAGCCAAGAAAACAACCTTGGGATAAAGGTGTACAGAGAACTGCTCCCAGATCTTCGAACTCGGGTTGTGCTTGCTCCATATTAGGAAGAGGTAGATATCCCAAAGGTTCGTTTGCTGAAGAGTGGTTGAAAGTTTGCGACCACACCAAGCGTGCTGCGAAAGCTTGTCCCAGCCCTTGCTTGCACCCTTATGCAAGTTCTCCAGGTCGGCCAAACTTCGTGTGCTGCCATCTTCAAAAAAATCCAGACTGAGGGCAATCGGGGAGCTGTCAACATCGGAGACAAAGTTGCACGAAACCCTGCCTCTCTGAATGCCAGACAGGGCTATTTTTGCACAGGCTTGCCTCAGCATCTCCTCTACCAGCACCAGCGATTTAGTTTTAGTCTCGGGTTGCAGCTTCCGGCGTCCTGGCAACAGCCCAAACAGCACCAGCAGAGCTCTTGTCTCCACTGTGTGCCCAGCTTTGTGCGGATCTTCACTCCCTGCCCCTCGGTAATGCAGCTGCGACAATGGAACCTTGGATTGGGGGGCATAACATTGCTTTCGAATAGGCAAGCTCTTTACGAAACCCGAAGCCCCAACAGAAAAATAAGCTAAAGTTATGCGACTAAGAAACTTCAGCGCCCTCCAGCTCAGCCTTGAACTTCTCGTTGTTTCTCTGGAAGAACACATGATCCTTCGTCCCATCAATCTTCAGATTGTGAAGCAGTCGGTCCGAATACCATTCGGCCTCTTTGTTGCTGTTGAAGTAGCCAGCTAAGCAATGCCCATGCGGCAAAGTCCAGGAGAAGGACCGAAAAACCTCTCCAGACTCTTCCATGGCCAAGCTCTGGTTCAGATAGTTTATAAAAGACCTGCCGAAAAAGACCCCCGAGGTTTCGGGTTTAAAGGTTTAGGGTTTGGGGGCTGTCAAGGTCAACTTGGCGGGAGTGAATCTGAGCACTGCTGGGTTATAATATGGGGTTTGGTTCAGGGTTTGGAGCTTCAGTGAACCACAAAGCCTCCGTCGGGGCAACAAACTTACAAGACCTGTCAAGATGGACCTCCGAGGTTAAGGGTTTAAAGGTTTAGGGTTTCGGCGCTCACACTCGGACAATCCAGGCGAGGCAATTGATGCGGAGTCTGACAATGTGAAACCGATGATGGGTCCGTCACAGTACGAAGCAACAGGCTATAGCAACACATAAAGTGACTGTATCCGCAGCGACTGAACCCTTCCCAAGATCTTACAGAATTGAAGCAAACTAGAACCAGTAAGACCTCGGGAAGAATGTAGCTACTCAGATCACTTCTTCGGGTTCGAGGAGGTAACATAATAGGTAGGCAAATGTCGTAAAAACTATAAAGAGCCGAGATGGCTCGGGTACAGGTGATCTGGTTGAGTATCATCATCGCGATGATACACGCTGTTCCTAGTCGTATTGACCAGCTGTACCTTTCAAAGGGGTGATACCGAATGGAGCCATGGACTGAGTGCTGGGGGTTACTGTCATGCATATGGAGGCTACATGCACACGCAAAGTTGCAGTGTTGCTGCCAGCGTTGGGCCAGGAAGAATCCGAAGAAAGCTATCATGGCTGTCGCGAGCAGAGTCTCAAATTACCATGCCGTGTGTTAGGTTTACACACTTCCATGGCGCGAACTCAGGCTCGTCTATGAAGAGACATCACAGCAACTGACAACACTTGCAGTAACCCCCAGGATGGGCGCCAGGATCTCGTTGTGCTTGATCATCGTGATCCAGCTTTGGCTTGCAGTAAATTCAAAACAGTTGTCAGAAACTCATCGTGTGGCACGGGCATCATGCAATAAATTCTCAGGATTCTCAGGATTCATTATGCACGACATAGCATGCATCCTCGCAGTCAGCTGTCAGTATCTCATATCGCCTTTGTACCACAAGCCTGCCAGAAGCAGCGCAGAGTGACCCCTTTCTTTGCACTGACAGCCGGGGTCATAATCAGTGTGCAGCATCGTGCAACACCCAGTGTTCGACTGCGGCCATTGCTGTAGCACTGACGAGGGTTCGTGGTTTCTTAGGATCTAGCTTCTTACAATCAATCGCAGAGACCTACCAAGGCGAGTAAGTACCCCAAGAGACCCAAGATATATCGAGGTTAAAGGGGGGAAGAAGGAATAAAACATGCTAAAATTGTGGGTTCAGGAGCTTAGAAACAGAGTCAGAACACACAGAGAGAAAGCAACCCTAAGGGCCTGAAAAGACCCCAAACCCCTGCCAGCACTCCTTGGGGCATGTCTTACACACGTCCCTGCTTCAACATTGTCACCCTCCGATCGCAAAGTCTGAGCGCCAGGGGAGAGTGGCTTGAGTATCTTCTGAGGTATAGGAGTCGAATTGGGTGGTTTTGGGTTTCTTAATGGACCCGGGTGATGACGGGGCAGCTACGTATCTATTATTATGTGCAAACTGGGAGTACAGTGCATCTACAGCTACTCTAGCCACCCCAGGCGGCATTGTTTGTAACTCGTTCCGGATCCGAAACCTCAGGCCTTAAGTGGCATTATCAGCTGGGTTTCAGGACACTCAGCCCAAGAAGCAGTAGAGGGGAGGTGCTTTAAGGAGGGGACTACGGAAATCACAGCAGTGCAACAAATGCGGTCTAAAAGCCCAAGGAAGCAAGCAAGCTCCAAGCATTGAGACACAAGATTCAGCATTATGGGGAAACAGTAGACGATGAGTGGTCAGAGGGTCGGCCTGGGTGCATCAGACGAAAGTGTGATACCAACGTTAGAGGGCGTCGATCAGTTTCCACTCCCCCGAAACACACTCTCTCAGTATCGAGTCGAAGTTCACAGGAGGGCCAAGAGTAGGGGAGATTCCATCCCGTATAAATACCCGAGTAACAGTCCAATGTACAATAGATACGGAAACTTACCTGCTCCGACCAAATACAAATCCTGTTATTATCGAGCACATTAACGTAGGGCGGTCGATCAGATTCATGAGAGACAATGTTAGACGTAAGAACGTCCATAATCGTAACCCAGTAACTCCAAAGGACGGCTCCACAATGCCGAAGTGGTATGATGCTTCGCATACGTCTAAGGCGAGTGAGTAGTCGGGAAGAAGCGACATATGAGAGGTCCGGAGGGAAAGCATTCAGCAAAACCTGGAGGCCCCAGCCCCATAAGCACGCCCTACTCAACTCATGCGGTGAAAGGATGTCCGGGCCTGGGCCTGGGTTGGTTCTCATTGGTCCAACTGCTGGGGCGCTTAGTTTGAGCATAAGTTCTATCGGCACGGGCAAGAGTTTGTGGGGGGGGATGCATGCTCACCCTCAGACTCTGTGGCCTTTATCGAGCTGGCCAAAGGTGACATGCATGTCGGAGACAACAAATTGACACATACATGCACATGCGTAGTCATGCGAAGTTACTAATTAGTTGGCTCAGAGTTGCCACGGACACAATGTAGAGTTAATAGTGCTGACGGTTCCGCGGCCTATCACATGTGCCCCGTGGTCTGTGAGCCTATCGCAGGGTGAAAGGATATGGGGCTTACAGTTGTTCGGGTCTAAAGGTGTAGGAGCCCTCTTTTCCTCCCGCCCGTTCGGTTAGTTGGAATGCCGCTTCGGCTGAGGGGTGGCAGGCATCATGGCTATGCTGATTTCAGACTGCTGATTTCAGACGAAGCTGATTTCAGACGAAGCTGATTTCAGACGGCTGATTTCAGACTGCTGATTTCAGACTAAGCTCACGAGAAAGAAAAGGTTGCTCTCCCAGACAAAACCATATAAAACCGTGTCCTTAAACCCCACTATAAACTCATGCAGCAGTCGGCTCACCATTTTCCCCGCAACCCAGGAACGTGCTGAATCAGCGGCTCGCTGAGAAGGGCTTTGCTAGCCGAGTCTGTGATTAGGGACCTGTGGGGGGATTCACCACCCACCACTCAATGCTACCCATTACTAGCATAAAACGACACATGGACTGGTCCCCCACTCAAACTGGCCCGCCTCTGTCTGACCACCTGAACCTACTCTACTTAGGTCACCACTACAGCACCGTACAGTATAGCGGCAACGAGGGAAAGCTCCACTATTCGCCGTCGCTGACATGAGGCCTGGGGCACTTGCAGAATTCCGGCTCCCTAGATGCTGAGCCGAAGGCCACTGTGGCACATTGAATCAAGTCTTAGTCTTCCGAATCGTCCTTGGATGTGGGTGAAGGGACATATTCGAGATCCTTCAAAGTTTCCTCAATCTCAAAGGCGATCTTGTACCAGCAGCTCTGGCGGAGAAAGACATCCGAATGTTTCTGGAGGAACTCTTTGGCCTCAAAGAAGTGATCACCCATTTCTTTTTGGTCTGGGCACACAGGAGGAGCAAGCCTCCCCAGAGGAGTTGGAGGAAAAGGCCCACAAAAATCCGGACGGAAATCGCATTGCATTTCACACATGTATTTCTGCAACAATCGGCATACATCTGCCATAGCTCTCAGCCAGAAAATTTGCTCAGAACCCTCGTTGGAATCCACAAAGGAGTCCAGAACAACTTGGAGGTTGTGGAAATACCAAAGCCACATCAACTTGTCTGTATCTGGGTAGGAAAGCTTCAAAGAGGTCTCCAGGCCAGCAGCGACTTGACGGATGTTCAACCACATGGCCCTCGGAATGAAAGGGCAAGTTTCAAGGCTAAGGAAGAACAAACAATACAACAGCTTGAGCAATGCGCGGCTGAAGCAATTCATCACAACGGCGAGAACAAAACAGACAATTCCATGCAAGATTTGCAGCACTGGTCGGTTTGAAGGTTGCAGGCCTTGGCATTGGGTTTAAACTCACGCTGTCATTCCGCACACTGACACCCGTGCTCATTTCATTCCTTTTGCTCAATGTCAAGCACATGTTAATATTATATTCCGACGAAGCAGCACCGGCGACAGCAAGATCGTGACTTCTGCCCACAACACAATCCACATTCTATCCGTGTCAAACTCAACAGGCTCGGTGTTTGCACGTACCCTAGTCGAGACCCTGTAGCGGCTAAAAGGCTAGAACAGCACCCTACGCACCCCTGCCCGAGCCTGCCTGCTCTCAGCGCATGACTTGGTTACACTCACACTTTTCGGGCATTCTCCGGGTAAGGTTGCCTGGAGGCACTTCTCTGCACTAGGAAAAGGCACAAACCAAGAGGCAACTACTTCTACCTCGCCTTTTTCCCCGGATTGTGGCTGTTTTCAGCCCCC